GGGGGGGGGGGGGGGGGACTTTTTCTTTTTTTAACTGTTAAGCTCAGGGATAGCATGACACACAGAAAAGAACTTCAGTTGCAAGGTTGTAGCTCCCCTCTTGACTTTTTTGACCCCTTCCCATGGACACCCCCAAACAAGGTAAATCTTGACCTTTTTGACCCCCTGCAGACACCCCTAGATCTTAAATGACAGTTTGCATTAGTTTCCCAATTTCAAATGACAGAAAACCACAATTCAGTACTTCGATGACTGCCTTCTACTGCAGAAAATGGATTTCTGCAGCTGCAGGTTGCATCCCTCCCAAGAGGCCCACCCCCATTCCCATCACTGCAGTAAGAGTCAGCGGACGGCCTGATTGTGCTTGTGCAATGCACTGCGCTGCGGCCTTTGGCTTCCAGTTAGAGCAGGGAAATTGGAGGAACAACTTCTCTGTATTTTTTCAGGGAGGAAGAAATTCCCAACTGTTTCTCTGGGGCAGGAGCCCTGCTCAGCAAAAGCCCCTTGGAAGTATTCTGCGTGAGGGTTTTTCCCCTTGAGATTGAATGGGAGCGTGGGAAGTCAGGAGTCTGGAGAGACGGTTGTGCAATGAAAGACAGGACATTCACACACCCTCTTTGGCCACCTCATCATTAAATCTGTGCAGTCACACCACCCTCCATCTTGAGCTTCCTCCAAAATTCCCTTTGCCTTGGTAAAAGACTTCCAAAAGCAAGCACTCTTTCATCAGCTGGCAAGGGGAAAGCAGTATTTCTCTGCTCGGCACTTCCTCGGCACCCTGTCATGTCCGCCTTTGGCATGTCTCTCTGTGGGAAGGAGGCCCTTCTGAGAAAGCGACTCAAAGAAGCGCTCCCTCTCTTCTTAGGACTTACCCCAGACTCCGGTTAGGGTCACGGGCTCTCCAAGGAGGTTGAATGCTCTGAACTGGCCATCCGGTTCCGGGCCTGGGCGTGCGTGTGCGTGAGTGCCCGGGCAGTGACATCACGCTCTTCCTTCTCCTGTGCCCTGTAAAATCTTGGACCAGGGAGAAGACATGAAATTCAAGATTGGGGCTTGGGCAGCTGAAGTGCGGTCGCAGTGAGCCACATTTCTAGACCCCCGTCTAGAAGGCATTCCTGACACTTTCATACATGCACCTGGATGGATATGACAGTTGGCAGAGAAATGACTTTTCATTAACTTCAGCTGGAAGAAAAGATGTGCACTGCTCCCCTGTCACTGTAAATGCCAATCAGCGAGAGCCGTTGGGGTGCTAAAATGCCTCCAGAGAGCACAGACAAAAGACTGGGGTGCAGAATTCGGCTTTACAGGATTCAGGTTTCTAGTCCTTAAGGCTGCCAAGATAGATTTAGAAAATGAATGCCTCTTAACCTCTCAGAAGACCAAAAGACGGATAGATAAGAACGCCAGCAGTTCAAAGTGGGGCCTTTTTTATTTGCATAGGTTGGGCTTTGCATAGGTTGGGCTTCGTTTATTTGATTTATGTCCCACCTTTATTCTGTACTCAAGGTAGCATGCATAATCCTTCCTTCTGTATTCCCCACAACAACAGCCTTGTGAGGTGGGCTGGGCTGAGAGGGAGCGATAGGCCCAAAGACACCTAGCCGTCTTCCATCCCTAAGGGAAGACTTGAACTCATGCCTCACAGTTTCTCGTCCAACTTCTTCACCACTACCCTTTATGTTACACCGCTGGTTATGGTACTGGACCAGGACCAGGGAAATTCAGTTCAGGTCCAGCTGTAGCCACGGAAGCTCCGTGGGCGGGTAGGTGCCACTCCCTCCCTCTCAGCCCAACCTACCTCACAGGGCTGTCGTTGTGGGAGACAAATGGAGGGAAAAGTGCTATGGATATCACACTCAGTTCTGGAATAAAAATATGATCTAAATTTAAAGGACAGGCAAATATTCACGAAATGTTGTGCCTTCCTGTGTTCAGGAGGCAGGATACCTTACACCAGATTAAAAAGATCATAGCAGCTCCCTTTTGCACAACGCCTTTAACCTGGTTACTGAATTAACCCATTTGCAGGAGGGGATTGCCCAGTAGGGAAAACGCCCAAGGGGTCAGGATCTATTTTTTATTCCCAGAGAACCCCCCACCCACCCAAAATGGGTACAAATTGCAGCTTCTTATTTTTTTGTTTCAGTATAAAAAACATCATTCCGACAATAAGAATTATACAAAGGGAAACAGGGTTCCTCTGGCTGTTGGGGGTTCGTCATCAGGGGAGTTTCAGCCACATGGGGCAATCCCCTTTCATGCGCTGTTTAATTGCCTTTAATTTCCTGTGCATTGCAGAAGCAGGGAGCAGCCTCACAGGGACACCATAAGCCTAAAATGCGAGGCCAACAAGGGTGGGGGACAGAGCAAATGCTTCAGGAGCTTATTAAACCAGGGTTTCTCAACCTCAGCTGCTTTAAGATGGGTGGACTACAACTCCCAGAATTCCCCAGCCAGCCCTGCTGGCTTAACACTGGCTTAAACCATGACAACTGCAGAAATGAGCATTATTAGCCTATTCTAGGATTAGAGCATTTAAAGAGCCCTCAAACATATTTCAGCTCTGGGATATCGTAAGGATGCGCTTTCTGCTGATTGCCTGGCAGAGATCTAGAGCTCCTCCTGGCAACCCTAGGCAGAGAGAGACTTTCCTAAACCGCCCATCTCAAAGTGCCTGGGATTGCAAAGGCACAGAAGAGGCCACCGCTCTCCCCATGGACTTCGGCGCAAATCCTTCCCCCGTGCAGCCATTCCTTCCCTCCGCTATTCCCGAGCCCAAACGGAGCAAGTTCCCCGAGCTGTGCACATGCTTTAAAGTACATGCGCCGGCAGAGAGGGTAACAATGCACGCGCGCTTGAACACGTAGCATTGCTTACACATGGGAGACCTCATGCTCTCCTCTGGGCTCCAATTTCCTCTGCACAAAGGAAACGTCGCAGGCTGTTCCCAGCCGAAGGGCTGCCTCTGGTGTCCCAATTCCCCACTCATGGGGGTGGGGGGGGCCAAAAGGGTCAGGGAGCCGTTCTGCCCCCTTCCTTCTTGCACTGGGGTCAGTTCCTGGGGTGGGCCAGGCCGAGTGCCACACGGCTGAAAGGAGAGGGTCCCGGTGGGTGCCCGACGCTTCCCTTAAAAGGATCCTCCCAAACTCCTTGCGGCAGATCAGGGGAGGGCAGCGATCGACCAGGGAAGCCTGCAGGAGGTGGGCAGAGGCACGGCGGGGCATCGTGAGCCCAGGCACCGTCGCCTTCCATTCCAGCTCAAACCATTCAGGAAATGCTGTTCCTAAAGCTATATGCTGGGTGAATCGGGCGCCACTATCAATGGCAAGCATTGGGAAAGCTCTTTGATTTTCACAGTCCAGCATTTCCAGGGTCTGATTGCCCGTTTGGCTCCCTCGGACGGAGCGCTGGTGGGGACTGACTGCCTCTCTTTGCTCTTTCAGCCTCCAGGGACCCCCAGAGGAACCAGCCGCAGTCCCCGAAACTGCTCCTCTGGTTCAGATCGCAGTGTGAACGTCCTTGGTGCTGAAGGCACTTCGCTTTTCACCAGCCGCCTTCTCCCGGGGTGGCTGCTCCCAGCCCAGCATCGCTCGCCACTGCAGTAAATCACCGTTCTTTGATCAGCCGGCTTCTTTTCCTCTCCTCTCTCAGCAGCCTGTGGGGTTGGGCCATGAGGCTAATTTCAGAAGAGGGGGGTCTAAAAAGTCAAGATGGTGGACACTCCACTCCTTCTTTACGCATGTGTCACATGAATGACACACCAGAAAAAGGGCAGAGCTTCAATCGTGTGGTCGTGGTGCCATCCTGACTTTTTTGACCCCAGATGCCCCTGCTTTGGAAGAATAAAGGTAGTACAAGATTCACACAGGCAGATGTGAACGCCAATCCCAGGGCAGCACAGGTACAAACCCAAAGCCTAAGGAAGGCTTGGCATCATGCTAAACCATGGCTTGGTGCATGAATTGGCTGGGTTCTCATGTGGCGCTGAGCCAAAAATCATTGCTTACTAACCCCAACGGTTCAAAACCAAACCCAAGCCAAGCTCACTGCGGTTTAACATGATGTGTCAACACTGCCATAGGGTTATCGGGTTTTTCTCAGACCATCCTGTTGTGTTGAGCAGGAGCATGGAGCAGAATCAACTTTCCAGATCAGGGAAGATCTTTCCAAAGGAAACCCAGCAAAGGCGGTGTCGGATCCGTGTCGGAAACTCCTGCTCTGTTTGGGGTCACTCTGGTTTCTCCTCCCTCGTTGCCCTTTTAGCAACCCCGTTGCCTCTGCAGGGAGCGCCTGTCCAGGACATTGGTGTGTGGGTGCCTCAGCCAAGGATAGCCAAGGGTATCCACGGGGGGGACCCAAAAGGTCAAGATAGGGGGCCCACGTACAAACCAGACGCAGCTTCGATTGCCCAGTCATGCCTGCCCTCTCGACTTTTTGACCACCCCCTGCGGACACCCCTGCTTCAATCTGGCGGGGCTGCCCAGCTCTCTTTCCCTCGCATCAAATCCAGAGGCTGCTTGAAATTTACACTCTTGGGAACGAGGCAGCGAAGTCCTGCTGGCTGCACCATTTGCCAGTTGCCTTTCTGTTTTGCCAGAAGCTCAGCTCCCTCCTCCTGCTTTTATCTTCCCAAGAACCAAGGAAGGTAGCCAAGAGGGAGTGGGCAGCCCAAAGTTGCCCAGGAAGTAGTAGCCGTTGCCTAGTAGCCCTGGGCATTCTTGGTTGAACGCTGTGACCGCTGCACACAAGGTGTCTGAGAAGCGGTGCGTTGATAACCATAATGACTCAGTGTTTCTCAACCTTGGGAACTTGAACCAGTGTTTCTCAACCTTGGGAACTTGAAGATGGGTGGACTTCAACTCTCAGAATTCCCATGCTGGCTGGGGAATTCTGGGAATTGAAGTCCACCCATCTTCAAGTTCCCAAGATTGAGAAACACTGCCATATGCTAAACCCAAACCAAATTCATTACCTGGGGCCTCCTGGTTCTGCGCCTCCCAGGTTTCTGCTCCCGACTCTCTCCGGGGCCAATTCCAAAGAATCCGAGACCACCACGAAATGCCTCCCGGCCGTCAGGCTGAGTTCGCCCCCAGACAAACAACCCCTTGCTATTTACAGGGAGCCCCATCTCCTCGGAAGTCAGGGGCCAACTTCCTTGATGAAAACGAGTCAGGGCTCCTGGGGGCTTTCAGGACCCCCTTGCCGGCTGCCGAGGAGGAGAATTGTTGGGAAGAGCAGTGCGGCGTTGGGCTGTTGTTGATACAGACCCAGAGATTCTCCCAACATTTCTGCCAGCGAGTGCCCGCCCTGCCTCCTTCGCGGGAAATGACCCTGTTTAATGAATTCCCACGGGCATTAATTTAATCACTACAGCCAATTTAGGGTGGTTGTTTTTTTCCTGACCCTGCCCTTGCCTTTGTCCTGGGAATGTGGGCCACAGGCCATAAAGGATCACATCCCTTTGCTGCGGTCAAGGGGCAACCTCTCCCCCCATTTTTGTGCCATGGTTCAAGTCCCCTAAGTGGCCAACAGGCACTGCACAGACACGGCAGTCTGGGCTAGAAAAAGATGGTGCCAGGCAATGAATTTTGTGTACAGATCTGGTTGTACGCTTTTGGTCTTGCATAAACCCATACGGGGATCTGAGTGTCCACTGAAGGGGTGTTTGTGAAAAAAGTCAAGGGGGTGGCTTTGATCACTTAGTCATGGCCACCTTTTTTGACCCCCCCCCCTTCCAGGTTCTCCCTAACAGGGGCAATTTCTAGACGATTAAGAACAAGGAACTTTGGGGCTCCTTTATTGGGGCATACTGTTTTTATTTTTCAAATCCCATCCGATCAAACGTTCTACTTCACCAGATGCACGAAACGCTAGGCTGGGAAAAGGGGCTTGGATTAAGGTGGGAGATCGAAAAAAATTCAAACGGTGACTCTTCTTGAAGTATGAACAGTGGCCATTCTCAACATTTTATTCGTTTATTTATTGCACTGAGAACTTACTTTCCTGCCAAACCGTTGCTGTGAATAATAACAAAAGCATCCTGGAATTGGGTAAACTAATTCATTTAGCACATGTAGTGAGATGAAGTGGGGGGGGGGACCTTTATCCTGATTCATGCCACAGGAAATCGAACTGAACTCCTCCTTTAAGCGTAACTCAGCAGTTTCTGGTCTCTCTTAGAAGTTTCTTTGTTCAAGAATGGCTATTTTCTAGGTCAGTGCCAAAGCTAGCCCTAAGTCTTTTCCCAATTTTTTTTTTAAACGATCCTTTCCTGCATCAGTTGTTTCTTTAGAGCACTGTTCCTCAAACTCGGCAATTTTAAGACATG